CCTGCAAGTGCTTTAGAACTGTAACTGGCTTCTGTTTTCTATTTCTTAGATTAACTTGGTTCCAAATGAGTTCTTGAAGAAAAAAAAAAAAAAAGACAGAAAGAAAGAAAGAAAAAAGAAACATTTAAACGTCTGCTGTTGTCCTTTCTTGTTATAGAAGAAAATGTCATAGCCTTAGAAAGGTCCTAGTTTGCTGAAGTATGACCTAAGTATGCTGTGCTCAACAACAGTGTGAAGATTTCTCTAAACAGGAAAAGTTTGAACTTCTTAATTTTGATTGGGATGTGCACTGGTTTTGAGTTGTTACTGTTTCTAGTTCTGTTACTGGAAAGCTCAGAAAGTCTTAGCTCAGTGTTTTATCTCCTCTGCCTTAATTCATCAGTTTAATTCGCTAGTGGAGCTTGTGTGAAGAGATTCATTTTAGAGGACTAGCAAGTTAATATTTGCCATTTCTTAAGTGAGACACTGTCCTCTGTGTGCCTTTTGCAAGCAAACATTGACAGACTTAGAGGATATGCAGCTGACGTTAGAAAGCTTGGGTGGGGACTACAGGGAGCTGGCAAATACTACAGGATTTAGTGCCAGGCTTGCTGACACAACAGTACTTTGCTTGTAAAAGTTTTCTTTAGGTGGCTAATTCTGTCTTCAGAGTAACTGGAACTGAAGCAGTGTCTCTAATGCCAAGTTAATATAGCAAAAGGAACAACTTATAGGAAATTGAGAATGTTCTTATTACTAACTATTTCTGAAGATTTGAGTTGTGGAAAGAAACCGGCAAACTCCTCTCATCCTGAAAGGATGAATTATGAACAGTGTCATAGAGTAAATGCACTGCAGAACAAATTCCATCTAACTGTAGAGTGTCATAAACAGCTTGAAGAAGGAAAAGCTAGCTGTGCTGTGTAGAATGCATGTAAATATTGAGCTCTGTCTGTTTTATATCACAGTATCTGTTTGATTCACAAGTTTATAGCCGTGTTTCCTAAGGCACATTTTTAATAGCTTCCCTTAACCTTCACATAAAAATTCCTAACATCAAGTATAGTTAGACACTGAGAAATGATATATTCTCAAATGAGAACAGTTGCTGTAGTTTATTTACCACATCACCTTAAGTATAAAGTGTTTTGGCTTGAATCTACAATACTTCTGGTCCTCATAAAAGCCTAGGGGCTAATAAAGCTTTCAAGGGATGTGAAAATCCAGCTTCTGTTTGTTTTGCAGAAGGTTAGGTAGAAAATATCCCTCTCTGTCTCCAGTTCTGTATATGGAGAGGGTTTTGGGGTAACATTATAGAGCAGAGCCTTTGAGTGGTCAGGTGGTGGTGGTGGAAGTACGTCTACGCCTGACTTAAAAGGCATAGAAACTGGTGTGATCTTGGTGAAAGTATGCTGCCTGATTATATGAGCATATCAATATTTTTTGGATTTCAGTATCACTTGTAGATTTTTCAGAAGAACTTTTGTCCCTTTCCGGGAGTGCCTGAAATACTGAATAGTTTCAGAATAAGTGTGGGGAGAAATAAGAGTCAGAAGGTGAATTTAATCTGTTTTGCAGCTTCACTGCAGTATGCCATGCTATGCTAGCTTAAATATTCATAGAATCATGGAATTGTCTGAGTTTGAAGAGACCTTTAAAGGTCTAGTCCCACCCCTCTGCAATAAGCAGAGACATCTGCAGTTAGATCAAATTGTTCAGAGCTCCATCCAGCCTGAGCTCGAGCTCCTCCACATATGGGGTACCCACCACATCTCTGGGCAACCTGTTCCAGTGCTTCACTACCCCTATCATAAGAAAAAAATGAAAGCTTTTCTCATATATCCAATCTAAATCTCCCCTCTTTAAGTTTGAAACCATTTCTCCTTGTCCTGTCACCACGGACCCTGCTAAAGAGTCTGTCCCTTCCTTTCTTACATCTCCCACTTAAGATACTGGAAGGCGGCTATCAGGTTTTCCTGGAGGCTTTTCTTCTCCAGTCTGAAAAGCTCCTTCAGACTGTCCTCTGAAGAGCTCTCTCAGATTGTTCTCACAGGACGGGGGGCAGGGGGAAAGGTGTTCCATCCCTGGGATGATTTTTGTGGCTCTCTTCTGGATGCACTCCAACAGGTCTATGTCTCCTCTACTGAGGACTCCACATCTGGATGCAGTACTCCAGGTGAGGCTTTACCTGTGCAGAGTAGAGAGGAGCAGGATCACCTTCCTCGACCTATTGGCCATGCTTTTGATTCAGCCTGGGATATAGTTGGCTTCCAGGGTCGTGAGGACGCATTGCTGGATCATGTCCAGCTTGCAGTCTACAGTCCTTCGAGATTTTTGGCAGGACTGCATGCAATCTTTTCATCCCCCAGCCTTTATTGATAATAGGGATTGCCACAACCCAGGAGCAAAATTTTGTACTTGGCAGAATTGTTTAATTTTGAGTTAAAGAAAGTTGTCTCAAGTGATGCTTATGCAAAGCAGCTTTGTTCACTAAACCTGTTGCTGCTGTGGTTGCTGTGATATTGGGGAGCAGTGGAGCATTCTCTTGCTGCATCAACAGCACAATACTTCTAGAACAGGGTATAGTAGCTTCCAGACAGGCTTGTCATGTTTGCATCTGAGCACCTTACCTGAAGAAACTTGCAATTTTATTTTTGGGAAAGGGTAAAGGACTTGATTTACAAGAAAAGATTTAAGATTGCAATGTGGATAGCTTAGTTAAGTAATGTTTAGAAGATTCCGAGAGGAAAAGAGAATGTTTTAGTGTGAAAGACTTGGTAAATGTAGAGGATTAAATGCAAATAAAAAGCATGATTAGAAAATGCTAAGCCCAGGGAGGGCTTGTGGTGGATGGAGTGAATCTTTCCAACGAAGAAACCTGGTTGCTTGGCATTTTTAAAATTAAGCTGAGGACAATATGTGAATGGGTATTGGGAAAATTCTTTCAATTTAACAAAGATGTGCTTCTGTTTCTGTTGAGGGCATGACTGTGAAAGAGCCTTCTCTGTGTTGTGAAATTACAAACTGATCTAGTGTCATGGAGTAAAGAAGAGCAAGTCTGATGTATTGACAGTTCTACTTTCTTTGAGCTGCAACACTCCCTAACACAGAAAAAAAAAATGTCATGCTGATGAACACAGCATTTTTTTTCTCTTCCTTCGTGTAACACAATTGTTACATGAATTAGGGGCTTGGACTCAATGATCTCTAGAGGTCCCTTCCACCCCATACAACTCTGTGATTCTCCTGGGTCCACTGCTCAAGCCTGTCTATATTATTGCCCCTTTAAGATAAGGTCCTGCATTCTTTTCTCCCACAAAAGTAAAATTTCAGTAGGAGTTTGAAGCTGCTTTATCTAGAGCACCTGGATGGCAGTATCTTGTACATGTGGAAGGCTCTGTCTTCTGCTTCCCTCAGAGTAGTAGGTTGCCTCTGGTCTTCTGTTGCCTGATTACTAAGGTGAAGTGAAATATAAATAATACAGGAATAGAAGTAAAGATTGTTTTAAATCATGGAGGTCTTTTTTTGCATGAACTACTGCTATAAATAGTCTAAAGCTGATTGAACAGAGAACACTTTTGTAGTCTTTGGTAATCTCTGTCATCAGTTCAACTCTGCAGTACAGTGATGTCTTTCAGATCTACATTTGTCTTCCTGAGGACTAGCACTTAAAACATTGCTTCTAAGTTTACAAAATTTAAAGTGGTGCATTTGAAAGCCTGTATAGCAAATTTCCATGCTGTCCATGGGTTGACCATATCAAGAGACACTGCAATCTATGGTTTGTTGGGGTTTTTCTTTGAATGGTCTGCTCACATCTCTTTGAGTGTTCTATATAGTATTGCAAGCGTTTACTCTTTTTTTTTTTTTTTTTTTTTTTGTGTGTGTGTGTGTGTGTGTGTGTGTGTGTGTGTGTGTGCCTAATCACTCCTGAATTGCTACCTATATCATTTTCTCTCAGAGTATGTTAAAATATCTCTAAATTCTTGTAATGAACAAATCCCGAGTTTAAAAGTGTGGATATACCAAGCAAGGTGTGTGTGTCTTAACCCAGTAGGAGGGGCTTGGAGGATGTGTTTGGGGTAGAGAGGCTTTTTTAACAAATTTTGGAGAATGTTAAGTCTATTTTGGTCACTCAGCCTTGTTAAATAAAGGAGAGTCAGCTGGCTGTGATGGTGACCATTTGTTAATAGGTGAGGGGTTTCTCGGTCGGATGGAAATTGTGCACTATCACTGAAGTGATCTGGAGAGTGTCCAAGATTTAAACAACTTGATTGCTCATATTCTCTGTAGCTTGCTTAAGCATTTCTGTTTACAGATGTGTAAAGTCAGCTATTTGTTGCGTAGTGGGATTGCACTTCCTGTAGGTCAGCTGAATTCTTCGTAACAGAGTCAAATTTTTTTAATGTAAAGTCTGTAGACTTTGCTGATAATAGCTGGCAAAGAATACATGTGCAAAGTTGAAGAGAATTCTTGGAGAAAGAAGGCTCCAGGGAGGCCTCACTGTGGCCTTCCAGTACTTAAAGGGAGTATGCAAACTGGAGAAGGAACGATTGTTTGCAGGGATTGATAGTGATAGGACAAGGGGGAATGGTTTTTAACTGAGACGGGAGATTTAGGTTAGATATTAGGAGGAAGTCTTTCACTCAGGGGGTGATGACACACTGAAACAGGCTGTCCAGGGAGGTCATGGATGCCCTGTCCCTGGAGGCATTCTATAAGGTTAGCTGTTGTATTAAGTATTCTGGACTTTGTTCTTCATCTTTTTTTTTTTTTTTTTTTTTCCATTATTCTGACATGAAGTGGAATGTAAGAATGGCTAGTTATCTATTGCAACTTTCATGCTTACTTCTCAGAAGTGAGCACTATCATCAACTTAGTGTGAATGTGCAATTTCTGTAGAGCTTATGGCAAACATGCCTTGACTTCAGAATGTTTTTTCGGGAGTATAGCAGCTTTCTTGGACACAGATACAGTTTGAGTATTACTCTTTTTTTTTCTTTTTTTTTCTTTTTTTTCAGATGGAGCAATTATCAGATGAAGAGCTTGACCATGGTGCAGAAGAAGACAGTGATAAGGAAGATCAGGATCTGGACAAGATGTTTGGGGCCTGGCTAGGAGAACTGGACAAACTCACACAGGTTGGGGAGGTTTCAGTCATGTCATAGAATAATTATAAATAATTATCACATGTTTATTTTCATTTGAAAGCTAACTACTTTAACCTTAACGAGGATCTTTTTGAACACTTCAGGTGAGTATGAATTATGAGTTTTAGCTGTGGTGCTTTGTCAGGGTCAAGTATATATCCTTAGCTGTTTTATTGTGTGAGGATAGAAGATGCCTCTCTTCTCAGTTCATTAGCACTACCACTTGGAGCAAGACTAGATGTAGCATATGACCAACTCAGTGTTCTTAAAAGAGTGCTGAATTAACTTATTTTCCCCATTTCCAAGTTGTTAAATTTGTTTTTCACAACCTGATAGTTATACCACACCCGAAGGGTACAATCCATTTGGAAAACTATGGAATTGATCTTTTGTCCTCATGTACATAGAGAAACACGCGCTTCATCTGGCTTGTGCTAGGCTGTATCTCCAAACACACAGTTGGGCATTGTCTAGTGGCAATGTAATTGAATCTATTTGTTGCACCTGAACAGCAGTAAGGAACAAGAAAGTGTGAATGATGTCAATGATGATGTGCTAAGGTCACCTGATACACTCTAGAGGGCCATTATTCCAGAGTGCTTTTCCAGCATCAGAGTGGCAGCTAACAGGACACCTTTTGGCATTTTTTTTAGTGCTTTTTCTTTTCTTCTCAAGCAAATCTTACTTTTTGCACGGTATGACAGAGTTCCAAGATAAAAGTCCATTTCTCTGTGATCTCCTGCTTTGCTTTTTCCAGCCATGTGTGCTGGCTCTCCTGAACAGGTATAATTCATTTTCTCATTCTTTGTATAGATTTTAAGTAATGATGTGATGCTCCGAGTTTCAATAAGCTAGATGGGAAGAGGCTTCTCTCATCACTTCTTTACTGTATGCTTGGGGGAAAAGGAAGAATCTTCATCTTATGAGAAGACTGACATAAAATGGAGTTAATCATACAACAGAACATTTCAGATTCAGTCTCATGCATGTTATCTTTGGTTTAAAGGACTATCTGCAAGTTCTAAATGCAGATGGCCTTTTAAAATACGGGAAAATGGGGCAATAAGGAATCCTACCTTTTCAAATGAATAGAAGATAACCTGTAATAAGTCTAAATATCATAATTCTTATTGTCTTTAACTCCCTGTGAAAGATTTTTAATGGTGAGAGTCCTTTCAAAGACCCTATGCCTTCAGATTGCCTCTAATGGGGATCTTCATGTAGGAGCACAATTGGTAATTAGTATTAGATTTTTGTTCTTGGTTTCACTTCAGCAAATATGAGTAACTTCCAAATATGTGTGTCTTACTTAGGGCTAGCAGCTGAACATTTAATAAACAGACTTTCTGCTGATACCTGAATTTGCGTCCTAATCCATGCAGAATGCTTAAAAGCTGTTTCTCACTTATGTACTGCTATGCAACACAGTCTACAGTTAAGCCATTCAGTTGAACTTCTGTCTTTTGTAACTACTGAGAAGTGACATTTCCCCCAGAACTTTGAATAACCTCATAATATTTTGTATAAACAAGTTAATGCAGTCTGTTGTGTCTCAGATTGCTTGTTTGGTAAATAGTTATGTCTTGATTCAGCTGAAGACCCAGTAAAGGGGCGTGATTAAATTTAATGAGCTCCAAAGAGCGGTCTGGTGTAGTTTTAGCATTTGTTGCTGTTTATCAGCAGCACTCTGAAAACAGTGGAAGAATTTTGTCCCCAAGTTCCTTGAACTTGTAACTTCTTTTTCAAATTTTCTACTTCTGTGTATTTGTTTTGGGAAGATTGAAAGTAAGACCTAGATTCCTTTCCAGACAGGAATTCTTTGTTAAAAGATATGAAATTGTTAAGATGCCTTTGAGATAATTTGAATTCACTTTGCCCTTTTTAACCCTTTGCCTAGTAAAAGCATTATAAAATGCAACCATGAAATTTTCAACACATGTGAGCAGTGTCTGCATTAGCAATTGGTGTCTGGTTACCCTGTTCAATGAAGTAAGTATTCTCATTTTCCAGAACTAGTCTTTTAGTGCTGTTTCAGTTCTCAGCAGCTTCCAAAAATGAAATTTTGCATTATTAATTATGGAGATTGTCCTCTAATAATAGAAGGGCTATTCCGAAACTAATGCCTCCTATTTCATTATGTTGGTCCACAATGTCAGAGGTGGATGTTGGTAGTATGGTGGTCGGGTTGAACCTTCCCACCAGTATTCAGTTACATTTTGTTGTTGTGTAGCAGATGGCAACCTTACAAAATGGTGTCTGACATGGAAGTGCGTATGAAACAAAGGTGTGTTGTTGAACTCTTCCATGCAGGAAAAAATGGCATCCATTGACATTTGTCCATTTTTGCTGAATGTTTATGGAGACCAAGCAGTGGATGTGTGTGCAGTGAGGCAGTGGGGGCTGCATTTCAGCAGTGATGTAAATGACGTGAAAAATAAGTGATGTTCCAGACAGCTGAGGAGATTTTTACAAGCACAGCATGCAGGTTTCTGTTGGTTGCTGGTTAAAACAACAACAACAACAACAACAACAACAAAAAACAAAAAAAAAAAAAAACAAAAAAAAAAAACCTTAAAAATGCACAGCTAAGAGTGGTGACTGTGTTGAAAAACAGTGTTCAGTAGCCAAGAATTTACTTGATCAAATAGTGCTATTGTGCTCTTTACTTTCATGGAAATAAATAGGAGGCATTATATTTGGAGTGATCTACATAGTAAGAGTATATCCCAGTTATTTCAAAGGATAGAATCATACAATGGTTTGGGTTGGAAGGAACCTTTAAGATCATCTAGTTCCAATGCCCTGCTATAGGCAGGGATACCTCCCTCTAGCCCAGGTTGCTCACAGCCCCATCTTGCTGGGCCTTGAATGCTCCCGTGAAGGGGAATCCACAACCCTGTGTACTAACATAATTGTTCTTAAATTTAATAAAACATACTTTAGATGTTTTTATCCAGAATATGTTTGCTTTGCAGGCAATCTCTTGGCTCAGTTGAAAGGAATGATCTCTAATGTGTCTGCTTTGTTTCAAATTTTCTTTGCTGCCTGTAGGGTTTTAATCTGATATTTTTCAACAGTTCTGTATGGAATGATATATAAACTCCACTAGAGCTGTTTTTTCCACATAATAGAAAATAGTTCTGGATCACTGCCTTATGATCATTAACTGATGACTGCCTTCCTTAAGCAAGGACACAGAAAATAAAAAAAGTGTGGATAAAAAACTTAAAACTTTTTGTGCTAGAAGATGCTCTTCTTTTAGACAAACGTGTATTTGGGAAAGCTTTATTATTAGAAGTGTTGCTTTTATTCACACCCTCTGCAGGCCTGTCAAGCAACGCCAGGAGCTAGATTCACCACATAGCACTTCTCACTCTGCAGGTGTCATGCAACTTTTGGTTTTACCCATTGGATCATAGTGCCCTACTGCTTGCTTCTTACTGCTGCTGATTAACTGCAAAGTTCTATGTCCGTTAATTGTCTTTTGATTTCATGTTTTGTTTTGTGTGTTGTTTTTTTTAATCCCTTACTAGATGTTTTGTTGGGTTTTTTTTGTTTGGTTGGTTGTTTTTTTGTTTGTTGTTTTTTTGTTTTTGCATATATATTTTTTTCAAAACACTACCATATTTGGGAGGGGGTCACTTTCACCATATTTTTCACAGAAAAGACTTATGAGAAAAATACCTAAATTTAGTAATTAAAAATCTTTTTTATAAAAAAGGAGTTCTCCATTGAGCGCTTTTCTGTGCTTATACCACAGATATGCTCATAATCAAAGGACGCATTTCTTAGGGTGTCACAGTTTGCATGTGTTTAACTCCTGCACAACTCTCTGCAGAGTAGTTGTTATGGATAAATCAGCTGTGTTACGTATTAGCTCATTTTGAAACACAGCTGAAACATGCATTCAGAATTTGTTCCCTTTTAAATCAGTAACAAGAAAGATTAATATCTTTTCTGCAGCTAAGTCTTTGTGATGTAGTGACATGTTTTTTAGTCAAAATCCTGGAAAAAAAAGCCAAACAACCACGCTTTTGATATGCCAGGAGCATATCAAATGGTTATAGAGAAAATTTATTTTCATCAACCTTGAGGATTTCTTTGTCAAATTATATTCTCCACCTTTTCTTATCTTTTTCAGAGTTTGGATTCAGACAAGCCTGTGGCACCAGTGAAGAGATCACCTCTCCATCAAGAAACCAACCTTGCCAACTTCTCATATCGTTTCTCCATGTACAATTTGAATGGTTCGTTGACTTATTTACCTTCTAAAGTATTATTTTAGGAAAAAAAAAAAAAAAAAAGTTTAACCATAAATGAGAACATTCTGAAATGGTTTCAAAGAATGTTAAAATACACTGTAGCTAGAAGTGAGAATGTGTTTGATAACAGCCTTGCTTTCTTATGGCAGAGAACTTTGAATGTTCTCCAACCTTGTCTTTTATAGCACCTGGTATCTAAGAGTTGTAGTCCGATATTTATAAAGAAAACTTGTACTGGGATCTGGTCTCGTGAAAAAAAGGAATTAATATGTATTGTAATAAGTTGTAATACAGGAAGCTTGTAATTTAGAGTTTAAGTGTGTGTATAGTATTTTTTTAGTGTCGTGGGTTGGTTTTTTGTTTTTGTTTTTAAAGTAATGTCACATTTGCCTAGCAAAACACATTTCATTGAGAAGCTGAAGCATGATGTATACATTTTTAAATTCTGTTTACAGCAGAGCAGTTTCAACCTTTCAAATGTAACTAAAAATTCACGAGTTTCTCCTATCAGAAAGTATATTTACCCTATATATATATTTTTTTTCTTTTAGACCAGTCAAGAATACTAGTGCAAATAAACTTAGTGTTTATCAGTGAGGACAGGTTTTGCAATGTAGATGGGAAAATACAGCTTCCTTGGCCCTTGTCTTTCAGCTATTAAATTCAGTAACGTAAAATGAAGAGCTGCTTAGAGAAATAAAGCAACCTTGCTCATACTAAAAACTCTTCTTCATTGCAGAAGCTCTGAATCAGGGGGAGACTGTGGATCTAGATGCACTCATGGCTGATCTCTGCTCCATAGAGCAGGAACTCAGCAGCATTGGGTCTCATTCAGCAAATAATACTGCAGTGAAACGCCTTGCCACAGAATCCAAAGTTCAGAAACCACCTAGTAGCCGTCCTTCTACTAAGCATGGCAGTATGAAAGGATTATCCTCTTCATCTGGTAAGGTTACTAAACCATCACATGCCAACGTTTCTTTGGATGACATCACTGCACAATTAGAGAAAGCTTCTTTGAGCATGGATGAGGCAGCCCAGCAGTCTGTAGCAGAAGATGCCAAACCAGTAGTTAATGCCCAGCACAGGAGGACAGCATCTGCTGGCACAGTGAGTGATGCTGAGGTGCGCTCAATCAGTAACTCCTCCCGTTCCAGCGTAACTTCTGCAGCTTCCAGCATGGACTCTTTGGATATTGATAAGGTGACAAGACCGCAAGAACTGGACTTAACATCACAAGGGCAACCAATCACCGAGGTAATGTCATTAATTTAATAATTCTTTTGGTGTTTTTTCTTCAAGTATTTTTTTTCTTCTTTTTTCCTCCCCTTTCTTTTAGACTGATACTCCCTGCTAAACATGTTCCATACAACAAAACTGATTACAGATCAGGATTGCTTGCACATGGGCTACACGCTGTGGCTTTTTTTTTTTTTTTTTTTTTTTTTTTTTTTTAGCTTTTGTCTATCTGCAAGGAATCTTAATGTAAAAGGTGTTGTTGTAGTTCTTTTTATTTTTTTTCCAAGAACTTTCCTCATCTTTTCATCTTCCACATCAACTCATGTGTTTTAATGTTTTATATGTAATGTTTTTCTTTTAAGTAAATCCTATATGCTGCTTTTAAATTTAAATCTAAGAAGTATACAGCTTTGAAAAAGGGAATGAAAAGTTGAAGGACATTACTACAGTTATGTTACTGTATGCTCAGATTACTGCATGTGTGACGCATACTGTGAATGTCTGTCTGGAGCTGTAACAACAGTTCACCACTTCTTAATATTCCTCTTAAATGTGTGGCAAGGAGAACTCTTCCAAACAATGCCCAACACAGGAAACCAATTGGTTCATGGTAGAGCAGTACCAAATTAGAGGTTTGTTCGTGTGCATTGGTTAATAATAATCAGACAGCAATTTTTTTTTCCTCAGTAAAAGCAGAGTAAGTTTGAGAAATGTTTGAGAAGTGCTGGTGTGTTACATGAGAAATGGAACATTTTCCATTGAATTTCAGAATTTAAGGAGAAACAAAAACCTGACTTATTAGTCAAAAGACAGCTGTACTGAAACAAATGTTCACTTTCAGTTTTCTCTCTACCAAAAAGACAAGTGGAACAAGCTAAGTTCACCAAATCAATAATAAACACTAATTTGAATGAATTGCACTTAAACCACGTCTTTATACATCTGCACCAAAATTTCAGCTGATGCAAAGAGTGAGTGATGCAGACTTATCAGTTTCATGATAACTCATCAAGGTGATACTTCAAATTTTTATTTGAAATGGTGAGAAATGTGTTACAGCTTCTTACAGAAAAAGCTGATTATCAGTATTTTCTGTTATTTTTGGATTTGTATTGAGTGTAGAAAAACAGAGGTAGATAGAAATGTGTTCTTTTCTCTTTCGAAAGTTGAAATGCAAACCTTTTCAATATTGCTGTAGATTAGAGCCCAGCTTGTGACAGTCTGATTGTATTGGTTTTCATTTGTCAGTCATCTTGTTTCTGTGATATAAGGCTTACTTTTCTTTTGGATCCCTGACAGTCATGCTGACAGTCATGGAGATATCTCTTTTAATGATTAACTTCGTATGATAATGCACTCTCCTCGAGCTAAAATGACTTTTCTATTTCTTGAGTTCCTCTCTTCAGTGAGTTGCATGGTATAAAAAATCTTTATTTCACTTATTAAAAATTTAAGCTGTTCTTGTTAGTTGATTTTTGCAGGTAGCAATCTAGATATCAGCCTCTCTTTTTTAAGAAGTGATATGCTGAGGCATCAATAAGGTTACCCTTCCAGCCTCCCATTTTTCAATTCTTTGCATGGAATGAACGATCAGCAAACCACTTGCTCCGCCTGTGTGACTGGATGTTGTTGAATCAATAGGCACGGTTCCAGAAGTTTGTCTTCACAGGAAGCTAATCCATATTGCTTCAAGTGTTGCAGTTGCTTTCTCAGTTGCTTTCTGAACTCTTTTAGTCATTGACTTAGAGGCTCAACACTTCCCCCTCCCTCCACCCCCCCACAAGCTTTAGAGGCATTTGAGAGCTGTCTTTGTAAACTCGGTGATTGCTTCTCGGAAGAATGTGGCAATTGTTTCTTTGCTCAGATAAGCCGCTAAGAATGACTCCTTCGAGGGAGGTAACCAGAAAGTGGTGTTAATTTGAGAGCCAAATTCTGCTCTCTACTTGAGAGCGAAAACCTTTCTAGTGATCAACAGTGTTGCTTTGTTCCACACTGTCTGAGCTGTCATCTTAATTTCAGTAGTCTGAGGAAAGTATTTATCTCTGAGAGATTTTACAGCAAGCTTTAGAATTTATATTTAACTACTCAATATAAAAGCTCTTACTTGATGGGACTTCTAGTGTGAGGATGTTTTTCTTGTCTCAGTGCTGGTGATCTGGCTAAATAAAATTTGTTTGGAGTTTTGGCAGATTCAGTGGTGGTGGTTTTTCAGTCAAAGTAGTGTTAAAAGTGGGCCAGAAACCCAAGGATTTGGGTTTGTAGAATCACTGGGTTGGTAGAATCACTGGGCATCAACAAGGGAGTTTTTTCTTTTGTTCATTTAGTGGCTGAAAACTATTGCTTAGGACTCTATTAATCTTCATGTTTAGGTTGTGAACTGAAACATTCTTCCCTTGTAAGACTGAATTCTGTCCTCTCACCCACATAGTTGATTCGGTTGTACTGTTTCTAATGGGAGGACATCATTCAACCCGAGGGAGTAGCTTTGGGAGAGGACCTGCTGCCAATGTGGGGGAAAAGAAAACCAGCAAAACACTAAAACCACTTGGTTTTTATTATTATTATTATTATTACGGAGAAACTGGAAGAAGCTATACTTCATGGCTTTAGCAGATGCATTTTTAATTTGTTATTCCCACCAAATACTTTAAGTTTGCTCTTTTCTTTTTGCCTGTCTTCCTTGTGGCCTTTCTGGTCTTGAGCTGACCTTTACAATTCTTTGCTGCTATGGTTCTTGTCAAAGAGTCAGTGACTTGGCAGCTCTACCCTTTTGACTGATCCACTCTGTCCTCTCCAGGCAGTGTAAGGACTTAAAAATAAATAATAATAATTTAAAAATAATAATAATAGAAATTGTCTTCCACAACTTAGTTTTATAGGAATCACTAGAGGAAGGGAATAACATAAGTAAAATAGAGGACTTCTGACAGGAGGAAGTGCTTGCCTGAAAAAGAAAATTAAGCTTTGTAGTTACTAACTTCAGTGTTCTATCTTGGAAAATAGTTCTGCAATGTGTTTGAGCCTCTTGGCCTGGAAATGTAGGGAAATGCTGTGAAGGAACGACCATGCACTGGCATGACTAAAGTCATGGATAGTCTGGCACCCTTTCTGACCAATAATAGTGATGGATATTATGTAAAGATCTGCAGTTCTATAGCCACCAAAAATGAGAGGGAATGAGGGAGGATTGCTGATGTGTGCAGATACTTAGGGGGGGGGGGGGGGGGGAAGGGGGGGAGTGTGTAGGCAAGAGCTAGAGGGAGTACATCTGTTCGTGGTAATGGATTCTTCAAATCTTCTTGACTGAGCAGTAGGAATGGCACTTGCATTCTTACTTGTCCTGGCAGTCTGTCATGTATGGACTTCATGTTATGGAAAATGCAGAAGCATCATGACAAATAGTGATTCTCAATGATCCTGTTCACCAGGACAATCCTTGTTGGTTCACAATGTCCTGAATTTGTGTGTGCTGCTTCCAGGGGAGTTGACTGAAATTCCTTGAATTGTCTAAAATCAGTTTTATTTGTAGCCGTAATTATTTGTTTTTTCCTTTCTTAATGATTCTTAATGTTACCTATTTGGATACTGTGAATGTTAATGACTTCGAAGACTTCTTCTGTAGTCTCAAGATTTTTTTGTTGGTGGTACTAAGTGTTGTCTGTCTGCACTTGTGCTCTTATCACTCAGCATTGCTGAGTGAGAAAAGTTGCTTCCACCTTCTCAATGCTCTGTCCCCTGCAGTTTTTACTCAGTTGAAATTGTTTTCCACAAAACTACTTCCCAAATCCATGCTCCAACTGTATTCTTTTTAAATTGGTAGGTTGCTTTTCATCTTCCATGTTCGTAAATCTATAATGAGTGGCATCCACTTTAAATGTTAATTTCTGCTTATCAGATATTTTACATGAATGTAGAACTGAATGAGTGTAGCAGTAGCAAGAATAAGGAAGAGGAAGCGATGGCTGCATGAGTAACTTGTCCCCTTCACCTTCCAGTACTAATTGTTTCTGCCCTCCATTCCTTCTGTACCCCTGCTACCAGAAATTCTCTTTTTGCAGTGAGCTGTGGTAGATCAAAAGGAGAAAGAAGTAGTGGAGAAAGAATAGAGAACTGTGTTGATCCTGCTTGTATAGCTAGCAAGACGTCTGATGATTTTTTTTTTTAAAAAAAGGCCTGTTCATGATCAGTCATGGTTACTGTCCTGCATATGCTTAATGAAGGCATCACAGATAAGTTTGAAGTCTGCTATCTGGTCTGACTCAGTACAGCATCCCTCACCACCTCCCTCCGAACATGATATAGTTCTTTGTAACCCAATTGGCATAACTAGAGATCCTGACTTGCACACAAAGATAACTTCTAATTTGACGTAATAATAATTTAGCTGATTGTACATTTATATAAATCATAGAATCATCAAGGTTGGAAAAGACCTCCAAGATCATCCAGTCCAATCATCCACCTATCACAGTATTTCCCATATAGAATCACAGAATCACCAAGGTTGGAGAAGACCATAATCTGTATTGGCCAGAAACTCCTGTGGGATAAAGTAGAAAATTTGGAATGGATATAAGGAAAAACAAAGTTTGTGTTTCACAGCCATTTTGCCTTGATTCTCATATGGGTTATTTTAGTTTCCACACAAAGGAGTACAGAAGCTTTTCTAACCATAACAGAGTATTGTGGGCCATGTTTTCTGTGTGATCACTAAAAGTGTTGTATTTCACAAAAATGTGGCTAAAATTGTGTGGATTTTTTGTTTGTCAAATTAAAATAAGTGAAAGAGAAATAAGGATATAAGCATTATCTTTGCATTGGTAGGTCTTGGTTGTGTGATCGGTGTATCAGGTTGATTTCATGATTTCATCAGGCTGCAAATTTAGAACTTGTGCAATGTTTTCCATGTAGGAGGAGACTCATGAAATTGTAGCAGGAAGCTGGTTAGTGTAAAAGGAGGAAGAATATATTTACCTTCTGAGATTTCTAGTCAAATTTTCCTGACACTCATGATTAAG